TGATAGCAAGGGTATTCACAACCATGGTCAATGGTCAGAGGGAATCACTAGAGGGTTAGCTTGTGGGGACCCTGCAAGTGTATTTTGGTCTTCCACTCTCATTCATAGCCTTCTAAAACTGAGTGTTAAGAATTTAAGCTCTACTTTTATTCCCTTCTCTAATCTTAGGTTTTATTATTTACAACCTTTGGATCACACAGGGTGGTGTGTTTAGTAGACACCTTACTTGTTTCAAGACAAGCCTTTAAGACCCCAGACATTTTTCTTTCTGTTATCCACGCACCATCTGATTTCTTCCCCACATTTTGCTCTAGCATCCATGGCTTCAGTGCCTCTTTATGAGGACAAGCATCAAGTAGGGCTATGTTATAAGAATGGATTGTTTTGTTTTTTTTAAAGAATGGATTGTTTTTAGATTAAGGCTATGATCAAATGAGAACTCAAAGTCCACTAATTTATCGATGGTTTTATATATGTCCCTGGCCCACTTTAGAGACATCATTATCATTTTATTAGGGAGCATTACAAATCATTCCATTAAATATATAGTAATGTTATTGATAGTATCATTAATATAGCCAATGGATAGGAGGTTAAATACTGTTTAGAAAAGGAAAATATATTTGTATAGTCAGCTTTTTAGGCTAAAATACATTAATTGTTGACTTGTGCAGATAAAAACCTAAGTGACTGGACACTATTTACAATGAGGTTTGGAGACAGGGCAAAACATTCAGTAACATTCATTTGCAAATGCAGAACTATGCCAGCTGGAATAAAACATGTCATAAAAAAGCAAAGAGTATGAAAATAGCAAAGTATGTTGTGCATCTTGAAAGGTCAGAGTCTAGAGTTCTGGTTGTCTGTAGCACACAGCCTGTGTCACCAAGGGCTAGATAGAAAGTAGGTCAAAAGTGTCCAATTAGAAACCAAATATCAGGCATATTCCCCCCTTGAGAGGGTTCTATGTAAGTAATGTTAAGCATTTTTCCCAATGGCCATTTGCCACCAACAGAAGTGAAATAATCTGTTCAAGATAGACATGCCCACCCCCCGTATCTGGACTGAATTTCCATGAAGGTTCATGAGCACCCTTGTAGGAATGTCTGTTGATTTGGAGTTACTGTGAGTCTGAACTGACTCAGTGACCGTGAGCTTCAGCTTGAATAAAGCAAGTTACATGGCAGGAACTCACTGGTGTTGTCCCTCATGTTTACCCCAACATGCGAAATTAACCCCTACTGATGTGAGGCCTCCTCTCTCAAAGTGTTATTTTTTTAAAGTTATGTTGGAAATATATTTTCATATGCTTATTTGCAAGCTTTAAAAGACCAAGCAAAATGACAAAAGCTGTATTATTTTACAATCCTTCCCACAACTCTTATACGTGGACTTTAAGTTTATCAATAAACCTCCAAAAGTTTACAAAGCTAGCATCCTTGAAATGCACAAAGGAAATCAAGTTGATCACCTATTTGCCTTTTTAAGGTGTACTAACAGTGGGGATGATATATGGTTCATGAGCATTAGGAAGGCATGGGGGATTGGATTAGAAAATCACATGATTTGAGAATGGAAACCTGCCTTTGTCTGGGAATTTATTCCTATACTAGTGGTCTCATAAATTATATTTGTTCTAAGGCTGTAAATCTTCAAAGAGCAGAAAACCTCATCTCTCTCCCTTGTAGTGTCGAGTGAGCTTGAAGCTGAACTTTACACACACACACACACACACACACACACACACACACACACATAAACTTTTAATGAACTTTTGGAAGCCTCCCCTTATATTTAGATCACACATTTTCAGAGGCATCAGGTTAAGGTTTTAGCACCGAGGCTATTGATACAGTTTATTGTCCAAGTCAAGCCTGAGCACTGTAAATAAGGAAATAGGTCACTAATAATAATTATCAGGAAACGTCAGACATTAGAAAGCACTCTCTCAAGCAACCTATGCATTATATTGGTCTGTATTTTTGAAATGCGTTGTTTTAATTGATAAATACCATTTGTGGTTGAGCTGGCTTCAGCTCATCATGGCCCCGTGTGGCTCCCCAAGCTGCAAACCAGAGGGTTTTCGATGCTGATTTTTCGCAAGTATTCAGACCTTTCTTTCGTGGTGTCCTTGGCTGAACTTAAACCTCCAACCTTTTAGTTTGCAGATAAGACCCTCGTATCAAAAATCACAATACTTTAAAAAGGCACACGTACAAGAGTGACTCCCCAACTCCAGGGCCATCTGCCCATGTTCCTCTTATATCACACCCCATTCCTCACCTCTGACAAAGAAAATAACTTCCATTAGGGTTTCCCATAATACTGTAGCGGTTTCTATGCACAAATGTACAAATGTGTATGAGATCTATTCTTATATGCCTCCTGAAGATTTTTGCATATCACTGCAGAAGTTACCTCCTCATTTAGGTAAGTAGCTCCATGGTATGCCATTGTGTGTTTAACCAGATCCCCATTGAAAGGTTTTTTGGCTACTTACATGAAAATAAAAGTGATAAAGACCTTTCAAGATTTTCTTTAAACACGTGAAATGTTGATATTTCTGAAATCCTGTTCTGTTGTTGTTGTGAGGTGCCATCGAGTCGATTCCAACCCATAGCAACCCATGCACAGCAGAGGGACACACTGCATGGCCCTGCACCATCCTAGCCATTGTTCCTGTGCCTGAACTCATCATTGTCGCCACTGGTCAAATGAGCTCCTTGAGGACTTTCCTCTTTTTCACTGCCCCTCCACTTTACCAAGTGTGAAGTCTTCTCCAGTGACAGGTCTCTCTTGACAATATGTCCAAAGTCTGTAAGATATAGTCTTGGCATCCTTGCCTCTAAGGAGCACTCGGACCTCTCTTCTTCTAAGACCGATTGGTTTGTCCTTTTAGCTGTCGATACTTTCAATATTCTCCAGCTTCGCGATGCACTGGTTCTTCTGCAGTCTTCTTTGTCATCTGTCCAGCTTTCACGTGCACTTGAGGCAATGGAAAACATCGTGGTTGGGTCAGGAGCACTTTGGTCTTCAAAGCAACATCCTTGCTTTTCAATACTCGAAAGAGGTCTTGTGCAGGTGATTTACCTAAAGCAACACATCTGTGAATACCTTTGAAATATTGTCAGATTTTGAAGGCCTGCTTTCTAACTTGACACTATAGCAGGGTTTCCTACCTGTTTCCCTTGCTAAATACTGGATTCCTAGATAGAAATAGGGCCTTATTCTTTTCATTTTTCCATTCCTAATACAGAATTAATATAAAGTGAGCATCCTGAACTGATAAGGGGTGACATGAGAAAAAAAAAAAAACAAAAACAATTTCCTGAGCTGAACAAGGCCTATACTTACTTAGTAGCTTCCAACTTTTATTTTTCCTTTTTATGCTTCTAGTAACTCTGAAACCCCTCCCTTCTCATTTGTATAGACTGTAGAATCTTTAGTATATGTTGAAAAATTGATTCGGTTTCTGTAGAAGTTCCTTCTAAATAAGTATTACAATCACATTCTGAATATAAGCACAGTTATTATGATATACACATTTAATACCAAGCAAGGATGCAATATAACTGACACATAAATCCTAGCAGTATTCTGTATCAGATGAAGTCTTATAATATGTACACATGTGTCTGTAAATGAGGGGAATGTTGTGATTGAGGATTTGGGGGAGACAGTAACTATGTGAAATGACAGTTGCAGCCATACATCCTGGAGAGACAGGTGTTTCACATGAAGAATAACCTATATTCAAGGTCAGAAAAGAATGCATCTCTAATTGTCCAAATACATGAGAATTTTTACTCAAAGAGATATTTTTCTAATATCAAAATCTCCAGTGGCCCAGAGAAGGCAAAGTCTCTAGGACTGTCTATCGGAGCATAACAAGGAGGGTTGGAAAATTGAGAAAAGTCTGCTACACCTCCCTGTGGGCAACTTCCTGCCATTCTACACCCCATAAGCCCCTGAGTATAAATTGCAACACAGCCCTGGGAGACCAGCTTCCTGTCGTGTGAAATATAAAGTGGGTAGTGCCTTAAGAGTAGAAAGGACATCAAGAAGGAAGATACAAATTCTAAGATCACCAAAAATAATCAGGTAACTGGAAGAGTTGGGGCAGCAGAGATTATAGTACATGAAGAGAACTTGTACGTTTTGACATCTTCCTGGGTGAGATGTCTTTGAGTTGTAGAAGGAAACTGTGAAGGTCATGGGTATTAGCACTCCCTCCCCATACTTACTTTTCAGTGGTTTTAAGAAAGCACAAATGGTCACTTTTGTAAGAGATTCAGAAAGCATTTATTGAAACCTTTATTTTAGAAAAGGGGAAGCTGAGGTTATGTGAACAGAAGTTTTAAAGTGTGCACTGCCAGTCAATGACAAAGCAAGTTCACAATTCAAAATGTGTAACCTCAGAAGAGACTCTTATACAACAAGCCTTCTAGATCAAGACTGAGGAGGGAGTGGGGAGCTCTTACACATTGGACTAGCCTTTGAGACTTCCTGGTGCTTGTCTACTTCCTTGATTATTTGGCAGTGTGTCTACCAAATAAATTATCATTAGACTATCGACTTCAGCTTTCAAAAATGGATTTTTTTAGTTTCTGCATTTCTTCTTCTTATTGACCTTAAAATAAAAATATGTACTAATTTTAAAGTGTCTTCCTAAAGGAGGTCTTATGAGTCACTTTGTAGAAAAAATATTTTTCTCCCCTAAGATCAATGGAGTACTAGTTGTTTTATCATTGGAAATGATACGAGAGAAAGAAGTGTGGATTTTCCTCTCTCTCCCATTTCCTGATGATGGAGTTGAAAAACATATACTTACTCCATCTTTGGGACTCATATTGTAAACAGGATTAAATTAATACAAAGTGAGAAGTATTAATGAGATAATGTCTCTGCTTCTTTCAGGGGCTCACAGTCTACATCCATGGCACTAGGAACATTTCCAGATTCAAAGGAGAATCCTGCATAGCTCATCCTCAGTCCTGGAAATGATGGATCCTGACAACTGCACTTGGAACCAAAGTTTTATCCTTGCTGGTCTCACTGCAACTAGAATGATACGATCTCTTGCCTTTGTGGGGACCCTATGCATTTATCTCCTCACCTTGACAGGGAACCTGTTAATCATTGTCCTGGTTAAAGCAGATTCTGGACTGTCCACACCCATGTACTTCTTCATCAGTGTCCTCTCCTTCTTGGAGCTCTGGTATGTCAGTACCACGGTACCCACACTGCTGCATACCCTGCTCCATGGGCGGTTCCCCATCTTATCTGTTGTGTGCTTCATCCAGCTGTATGTCTTCCATTCCTTGGGCATGACTGAGTGCTACCTGCTAGGGGTGATGGCCTTGGACCGCTACCTTGCCATTTGCCGCCCACTCCATTACCATGCACTGATGAGCAGACAGGTCCAGTTATGGCTAGCAGGGGCCTCGTGGGTGGCTGGATTCTCAGCAGCACTTATACCAGCCAGCCTCACAGCCACTCTTCCCTTCTGCTGGAAAGAGGTGGCCCATTACTTTTGTGATCTGGCACCTCTAATGCGGTTGGCATGTGTGGACACAAGCTGGCATGCTCGAGTCCATGGGACCGTGATTGGTGTGGCCACTGGTTCCAATTTTGTGCTCATTCTGGGGCTCTATGGGGGAATCCTGAGAGCTGTGCTGAGGTTGCCTTCAGCTGCCAGCCGTGCCAAGGCTTTCTCAACCTGTTCTTCCCACATGACTGTGGTAGCACTGTTCTACGGTTCTGCATTCACAGTGTATGTGGGTTCACCTGGGAGCAGACCTGAAGGCACAGAGAAGCTTATTGCCTTAGTATATGCCCTTCTTACCCCCTTCCTCAATCCCATCATCTATACGCTGCGAAACAAGGAGGTGAAGGAGGCTGTGAAGAGAGTTGCTGATAGAATCAGGACTACTTGGAAGGGACTCTGATGACATCTATTATCATCACCTAACTTTTGGTAATTATTATTAGTTTTTTTTATAGTTAGCCAACCATCTGGTGTATGTAAAAGGAAACACCAATTCAAAAAAAGAAAATCAGATCATTGGTCAAACATGATGCAAACACACAAGAGTACCTAGTGTCTATGTTGAGTAGAGCAGGCACATGTAGAAAGAAAAATGCATATTCTATAATTCCATCCGAATATCATGCAGGACAAATGCCACAAAGGAGGAAAAACAAAATTCCAGGCACAGTGCAAATATTTAAACTGAGCACATATGTTTTAGAAAAGTGTTCCTGTGTGGTGCAAACAATTAAGATATCCACTGCTAATCAGAAGGTCCATATCAACCCAGAAGTGCTCCAGAGAAAAGTCTGGTGATGTACTTCAGAAAAATCAGCCGCTGAATAATCCATGAAGCATAATTCTGTTCTGACACACAATCACCCACCTCCACAGACAAACACAAACACATAAACAAGCAAACTCACTGCCATAGTCTCTTCTGCCAGGAGTCTGATTTTATTTATAGAGACCCTGTAAGACAGAGTCGACCTGAACCTGAGGTTTCTGAGACTGCAGATCTTCACAGGAGTATACAAGTCCCGGCTTTCACCCTTGCAGTGGCTGGTTGGGTCCAACACTGCAGTTACTAGCCCAATGCACTATGCCTCTAGGGCTCCTCTGACACACATAGAGCCACTCTAAATTGGAGGTGATTCCATAGAACTTGCCTGTATTCTGTTGGGATAGCTGGGAAAAAGAGCACACTGCTGAGGAAATGAAGCCCATCTAGATCTTGGAGCTCCACTCAAGTTTGGATGACTGGGGAAAGATTGCGAAGAAAGTGGTCAGTAAGGTTGACCAAAGACAAAAAAAAACTGTTTGCATCAAGTTTCAGATGTGGAACAGTAACCGAAGAACAGAAAGCTCATCAAATACAGAGTCTAGGTTATCAAGTGGCCAAAGGGTGCCCAGTGGCAGGGAGAACTATTGAAACTGTAGAATGAGAGCTAGTTTTGATAATAATTTATTTTCCCATGAGACAACAGTGAGGCATAAGAAGGTGAATGTTTTCTGAGCTAGTTTCCAATACTATTGAAGACACCTTAGAAATGATCTCACTCTGCATTAAAGATGAAAGCATCAAACAAATGTATATGGAAAGCACATCATTTTCAAGATGGACCTGGTAAGCAAACACAAAGTAGGAAGCAGGAGGAGATAGAAAATAGAAATAGGCATTTGGGACCCTATTTATTCTATTTTATTGTTTACCCAGTTCCCCTGCTGGACAGAGTTTAACCTCCATACTTTAACTATGAGTGAATTGAGCATCAAAGACATTCCAAAGGATGCACGGATAATTAGTGACGAAGATAGAACCAAAGTCTTGCCAGAAACTAGAACACTGTTTGGGTCTTGAATGCTATCTCTCTCCTCCTCACCCCCACCCCGTTTCTCTCTCTCTCTTTTTTAAAACATTTTATTAGGGGCTCATACAACTGTTATCGCAATCCATACACACATCAATTGTGTAAAGCGCATTTGTACATCGTTTCTCAAAAC